CTATTCCAGAATTGAATCTTATCATATCTAAAAACGTCTTCAGTATTTTTTTTATTTATACGCTTAAAGTCATAGAATATTTAACTATAACTTTCAGTTGCAGTTGGAACTACCGGTTTTTCTCATAGTTGCTACTATTAAAGTGAAAGTCTATAATGACCACATTCATAAATGATCACCAACAAGATGCCTTGAGAAAATGTGAAATAAATTCTAATGAGAATATTATGAATACGAATCTGACAAACTTCCGAATTTTTGTCTCACATATCTTTAAAACTTATATTCACTCTATTTTTCTTCAAAAAAGATGTGAGTTCCACAAAAAAAAAACAAAAACAAAAACAATCAATAATAGTATCATCAATTGTTAATGATAATGGATTAATATCAAATAAACTTTGAATATCCCTTCATATGTTCAAGACAATCGAAGAAAAGAATACCGAATTAAATGTGTTCGTATTATTGTTAATTCTTGTGAAAGTTCAATAAATTAAAATTTTTCTATATAATCACGATATGCATGAAGGAATTCTGACTAAAATTTAATAACAATATACTTAATACTGTCGAAATCGTTTTCTTACTCGACAATTATCAATACGATTAATCCACTGAATTAATTAATAATTGATAATCGATATATGCTGTTGATATAGATTTAAGTAAACGTTGAATAGGTCATATCATGATAATGCAACAAAATATTGTTTACCTAATTGAGTTTTATGTTTACGAATCTATTTGAAAATAGTTTTTATTTTGTTATATTATCTACTCAATGAAATAAAATTACCTTATGATAAGTATAACAACGAGTATTCATTTTTTAAAAAATCTAATGTATGAATCACTTCCATTGTTTTAGCATAAAACTTTCTAAAATCTATTAGAAAAAAATAATTCATTCGAAAATGAAGAACAGTGTCCGACAATTTAGTACGAGAAGAATTTCATTATAGTCTACGAAAACTGAAATACATCAAATCTCGTTAGGCTCGATATGCTTTCTTTTTCAAAACTATTGTTTGATTATTGAGAAGTGAGTTCATATTCAGACTTTGCTATCGTATCGAACAATCAAACAATGTTTGTAGAAAAAGTATACATAGTTTTTTTCTTAAGTATATGACCAGTAAAGCCTTAGAAAAAATATCGAACCTGTGAGATTAGATCATTTTATAATATATATATATATATTTTTTTTGTAAATCTAGCTTTTCCAATAATAACATTGTTCAAGTCCATTAACAACAGAATATTTTCACAAGTAACTCAACAGACGCTATCATTTTTTTTTAACTAGTAAAATATATTTCATTGAATAATTATCTTACTTGAATAATATTTAATAGCATTGTAAAATTAGTATTAATTTTCATTCGATTTCTCTTATATTCCATTCCAATTAAATACTAATTATATATGTTAATATTTTGTTCTTTATAACAATATTGTCATCTAATACATACACACTTTAATAGTTGTATTGAATAATAAATCAAATAATGGACTATTAATCATATGTTGATGATGAAAATAATAATAATGAAGAAATCTGACGATGTTGTTGTTTAATTATTAGTTAAATTAATTGTACACATGGATTTATCAACATTATTCATTAAACATAAAATTCTCCAAATCACTAAAAACATTATTATATATACATTTTTTTATCTTTTTTCTTTGTTGATCGTGATGTGTATAGAATAGATGTGTCAATATAAATAAATTTTTATTCAAAAGAAGAATATATCTTGTTTCATTCTTTTCTGTTGTAATAAATTCACGTAACAAAGAAAGATTTTTTCAAACTTCTGTAATGAATTATTTTAATCTAAAATTTTGTTGATATTTAGATATGTTCATCTAAAAAGAATATTATTGTAAAAATTTAAGTGTTTAAAAACTTCCATTGTTTTGTATTTTTCGACAGTCTATGAAATTGAATCAACAATTTTTAACATTAAGTATGTCTACTTAAGTAATAGTTCGTCTAATGTAATATATTTTGTATTTTATCATAACAAATAAAATAATTATACATAAATGTTGTTATTGATTATCATTAATAAAAATAAACAAAACAATTTCATTTTCATTCCAAATGAGATAAAATCTAAAAAAATTCATAAATAAATCATTATACATGTTAATGTTAACAAGAGAGAAAGGAAAGAAAAAAGAAACATATGTGACGAGGGGAATGTTCTTTTTTTTTCTTTTTTATCTTTCTCTCGTCCATAAATCATTGTTCATGTTGTTATCATTGACGATGAATGATCAACATGTACAATTAAATATGTATATCATTTTGGACGAGAGAAAAAAAATGATTTTTCAAGGTATAAATACGAATGATTTTCTATGTAAAATCATTCAAATTTTTGAATCAAATAATAATCATTTTTCTTTTTCTGTTTTAGATTGGCCTCAATGATACAAAATTAATCAAATCAAGATCAAGCCATACAATAAAATGAAATGTAGGTATCAGTTTTACTTTTTTTTCTTTTTTTTTATTTTACGATCATAAGGATGGTGGGGTAAGACCTGCTTTGATCTTTTTATTATTTTTATTTTAGGGAATAAACAATGAAGAAAACGATAACATTAAGGTAAGTCATCTGATTCTATTTCATTGAATAACATTGATTAAATTTTTTTTCTGTTCCTTTCAGCTATCAATATCATCGCGTCATCAACATCAGACACGGTAAGTAATTTTTTTTTTTGAGATGAGAATAGGTGGTGAGATTGATGGGTTAGGATGAGACTAAGAAAAGTGAGTGTTAGTAGAGAGTGGGTGAGTCATGTCCATTGAGGTTAGGTCCCTGTTAGTTACAGGCCTTCCGGGTAGGCCCTGAAAACCCGGCCAGGAACTGTCTTGGTGTCCGTGGCACACGACCAGGCTTATTCAGACTCATTGACATATCTCTCGCGGGGAGGGTATGAATGATATGAGTCTGTCCTGTGCGTGCATGAGCGTTACGCTCGCCACGGCGCCACCAGGATGGTTCCTGGTCGCGCGCGCGCGAATAGAATAAACCATTCATTTCATCAATTCAACGTGATTTATTTGAAACGAAAGGAACGCAAAAAAAATAATCCAGCGTTTTGAGTCTATTCGATTGAAAAGCGTTGAACACGATGATTCCCATAATCGACGACATAGAGATTGCCATGTCGATCGAAGGACAAACCGTCGGGATGGTTGAACTGATTTGCTCCGTCTCCGTAACCATTTCCACCCACAATGATAGTGCCCTGTTTCGCTCCTTTAGGCCAACGCATCACTCGATGATTCCACGAGGCTGTCACATAGATGGTACCCAATGTATCGACGAACAGTCCTTGAGGATGCGACAATTGTGTCAGAGCATTCCCTTTGCCTTGACCTCCAGCGACGACAATTCCTTCTTTTGCACCTTTATTCCATTTCATTACACGATGATTGCCCTTGTCTGACACGTAGACAGTCTGTTGTTGATTGACAAAGACGCATCTCGGCGTGTTGAGTTGATTGAGATCATCACCTTCGCCATTACCACCAGCTACGATAGCTCCATTCTTGTCTCCTATTTGATATCGTCTTACTTCATGTTCGTCGGTGTCAGAGATGTAGAGATATCTCTGATCATCCATGGCCGATCCCCAACACGAGATGTTGTCGATGAGGATTTCTCCTTGAGTTGTACCACTACGACGAGACCATCGTACGACTTGTTGATTTCCTCGATCACAAATAATGAGACTATCCGTCTCTTTGTCGATCAACACATCGGTCGGATAATTCAATTGATCCAATCGATTTCCTTGGCCATTGCCACCAGCTACTACTTGTCCATTCGTGTCACCCATCTTCCATTGGATGATACGATGATTGCCCCAGTCAGCGATGACTATCGTTTGATCATCATCAACGAAGAGACCATGAGGGCCCCAGAGTTGATTGGTGGCATTGCCTTCTTCATGACCTCCAGTAACAGTCACTCCATTCTGTTTCCAACAAGCATCGACTGGAATATTGGGAATTACTACAATGAACGAAAAAGAAAAGAAATCGTCGTTGTCGAAGAGATTCCGTCTCTCGTGAGAGCAAGCGCTAGAAATATGACATTCATCTTTGAGAATGCTCGTTTCGCAGAGAAAAATTCAGAAGTCTTTTCCTAGTTTCTTATGAGAAAAAAAGGATTTGGTAACGATTCTTACATCTATGTTACTTCCAGTTCTTGCCAAGATCTTTTTGATCATAAAAATAACATCTGGAGATTGTTGTAAGGAGGTTCTCCAAGAAAGAGTAATACCAATTTCATGTAAGTTTTTGATAGAAAAACATAAGGATCTGAGGATTTTTTTCAGAATTGCAAGAATTCAGAATCTTTTTGGCAGAATGATCATTTATATGAACATCAGAGAAGATTCTATCTGTATCTTCTGAGAAGAATATTGAATCGTTGAACAACAAAATATCAAACCTAATCCCTATGTTTTTTAGGAAACCTTAAGGACACATGATTTTCTGTATGATGAATGTAGATCTGCCGAAGAATCTCCTAAGTATTTGCATAGAGAATGTCGGTGAAATTTTATAAGGCTTTTGATAAGTTATGTGAAGCTGTTCGAAGAACAACCGTGATGTACTCTGAGTAAGATCACGAGAAGGCTTAGATACAGGCGAAACTGAAAAAAGTGGAGAGGATTCCACGCGAATCTACACTCTAAAAAAAATCGGTTTTTTACCGAACCCCCAAAAAAGGTTCCGGAGATGTCTAAAAGCGTCCAAAGATGTCCAAAGTCTCAAAAAAAGGATAAAAAAATCTACGAAACCTTTAAAGGTTCTTACCGTGTACCGAGGATAAGAACCTTTTGCTGCGAAACCTTTTTTTAAGTTCCGTACAGCAGAAAAAGGTTTCGTAGGAAAATACGAAACCTTTAGAGTTTCATATTAAACCCTAATAGTTTCGTACTAAACTCTCATGATTTTGTACTAAACCCTCATGATTTCGTAGAGTTTAATACGAAACTCTAAAGGTTT